TCAGACCGATCTGGAAGACGTCTGTTGTGTAATGGCCACCTGTCGCACTGTTCCCGTGATGGTAGACCACTGCAAGAGAGGGCAAGGCCGTGACCAGAGGAGGGGAGCAGCACACACAAACGTTTTACAGGCACCCACCGGGCTCCCTCCAAAGACAAAGAGGTGAACAGAGAGAGATGTAGCTACACAAAGCCATGCTATTTAAAGTTAAAAAAAAAAACAAAAAAAAAACTTGAACAATTCACAATAAAAAGTTATACAATAATCTTGGTAATATGAAAAAAAAAAACTAAATGCTCCCTGGAAGGAAGGATCAGTGAACTGAATTATGAGATGAAATTATTCAGAGTAGGTTAGCATGTTAAGAACATCTGATGATGCAGTAATATGCTCATATGTTAGTGAAAAAGTGAGGACCCCAAGTTCTCTGAGGAGCAGCGTCTGTGACACAGGGCACCCCCTGCATGCACATGGCCCCGGAAAGAGGGGCACCAACACCGTTAACTAGGGGCACCTGGGTGTGCAGATGTGGAGGGGCCTGCAGAGAGGGTGCTAGTGGTTACTCTTTTCTTTAAAAAAAAAAAAAAAATTTTCGATTTTTCTGCTATAAAATTTTAATAGAAAAAATACCATGTTTTTTTTTTTTCTTTTAAATCCTGTAATTCAATCGAGAAGTCTTGGTCAAAGATCTAAAACAAATATAACTGTCAGAAGAGGAAATGAAGGTTTAGAAGACAGCCCAAGGACGCAACCTTGTTCTACAAAGAAGGAGAGAAGGGGTGGCCAGGGCCAGGCCAGGAGCAGACAAGGGCCTGGGGGAAGGAAAATACATCAAGGCACCTGCGGTGAGCTGGGCTAGAGAAGGGCATAAAGGAAAGGCACTTGGGAGAGGCACAATACTTAACCGGTGGGGACGTGCAGCAATAACACAGCCCAAATGTCACCAACTCTAGCAGCACTCGTCACTTCTGGTGTGCTCCACAAACGAGGAGGCATGAATCCACTCTAACCGGGACTCGGGGGTTAGAAGACAGCGCTTACGAGGCCATGGGAGTGGCTTTGTACAAAGAGACACTCTATGCTGGGACTTTGGAGAGGACTGTACCCCTGGTCCTGGCCAGCCAATTGGCAAACACGAACTGACTGGCAAGGGGTCAGCAAGACTGTAAGGAGGATAGGGTGGAAAACCAGCAACGTGAGCAATACAAGGAGGCAATGCTTCGCCTTCTGCTGCCAAAGCCACAGGGACCCCAGTGACTGCCCCAGGGTGCGGAAGCACACGGGCCACCAGCATTCCCCGCCCCAGAGTCATCTGGGGACTTCTGCCTTCGATTTTCACCTGGAAGGCCTAACTGATTTGGGTAAGAGTTCTGTTTTAAAATTTGAATTTGAAGGAGCTGGGGGTTTAACCAATTTATATTTCCTATAAAGAAGACACCTCCATTCTAAGAATCCAAAATAGAACAGCACTCAAACATTAAAGTTTTGTAAGCAGCAGCCCAGGTGACTACTTAATATGGTAACGTGTCACACATACCTGGTCACCCCAACTGACAGGAACAGAACGCAGAATCAATAACTTTAACAAAGCTCACGTACTTTGCTAACTAGTTCTTTTTAGTCAACAATCAGAGCTATTTTTTTAAAAAGTATTTTTTCACTCAAATTTTACAGAAAATTGTAACCAGTGCAGTGACCTTATTTCTGAGATCAGAATGGATCAGATGACTCAAATCAGCTGAGGCTTCAAGGTGCAGGTGACAGCAGCCCCGGTGAGCAGTCCGGGGTGGGGGGTGGGCAGTGTGCATGTATGCTGTGGTTGAGCCGCCTGACAGTGCTTATCCAGGGGACCAGGAATTCCTGCACCCCACCCTTGATCATCAGCCTTCCTCTTCAAGGGCCCCACGGGAGAGGTGCTGGGAGAAGGCAAAGAAGCACTTCATCACCCACGGGGACCTCAGTGGCAAACTTGAGGAAGCCAGGCTGGACCCTGGGACCCCACTGGTCTTGGCTAGGTAGGGAGCAGAGTGTGAGAACCAACCGAAGTCTCTGAGCTTCCGCTCCAAGGCAGGGAGAGGAATGGGCTGGAGATACTCCTAAGAGCGAGGGGCCTAGAGCCACTTGTCTGGGTCCTAGCAGGCTGGGAAGGGCCGGGATCAACTGCCTTAGGGGCAAAGAGAACGATAAAAGGAACGGTGACTGGTAGGAAGTGAAGGCTGGGCCCAAAAGCCTGTGTGAGTGACCTTCCAATGTGGCACAGGGACCTCTCCAACTGGCCAAACAAACTTCCTGAAATCTTGGGAGAGAGAAGTTTGAAATCCTGCTCTGCCACTTGAGGTCACAAATCTATTTGGTAAATTTCCCTTCCGAGTTTCAGTTTGTTGCTTTTTAAAATGGGGATACCATCCCTCATCTCTCAGGGCAGTTATAATAAATAAATGAGGTGATATGTGAAAGGCCATCTAGTAGAACAGTTTGATAAATGAGGGTCAATAAATTGTAGTTTTACTATAAAAATAGAAACAGGCTCACAAAAAGCAATACGAAAGGACAGATGACAGAGAAGCCAGAAAATTCTAACAGTTAGAAGAGCAAGCAAAACGGCAACAAGCAAAAGAGATACTCAAAGGTATAACAGACCAAGGCTATGTCAGAGAAAGCAGGAAGGAAGGAAGGACAGAAGGTGTAGAAGAAAAACTGGTATCGTAGGCAGCTCTGAGCCAGGACAAGAAGGAGGTTCTACCAGGGTGGAGGAGTTCTGGGAGTTGGGGTTGCTGCTCACCCCTGGGAGACCTGCCAGGCATGGAGGAGTCTGGCAGCCAAGGGCCTGGGGAGCTCACACCAGCTTCTCACGCACGCCTGAGAGCACTGCGTGGAAGACGATATAGGGGACACGGGTTCGAGAAGCGGTCCCCTAACCCAGCTTGGAGGGGGACTAGATGACATGGCAACTCCACAGCACCGTCATCACACAGGTGCCACACTGCAGCAGCGAAAGGCCATGTTCTCAAGGGGCCAACCAAGCAGCACAAAGCTCATTTTTCATAAGACTCAAAGACAGAAATGGCCATTCTAAGCTGGGTCAGCTCAGGGCCAAGACACTTTCTGTCAAAATCCAAACACTAAATTTCAGGAAAAACACACATTCTTAAATGACTTCCTAACTTAGAAATTTCAGGAGAAGTCCACAGGGATCGCAACAGAGTGATCTATTCTCAGTGTTTGGTGGAATGACAGCAGAATTGTATCTGTGTATAAGCTATTTTAACACTGCTTTGGAAAAGGAAGTAATGTACAAATTGACTTACCTGCAAACAGCCTATAGGTTCTGTGGCATTTAAAATTCTTATTTTTGACCCCTGGAGAAAGCAGTTCTGAAAAACAAAATATCAACAGCTCCAATGTATCAAAAGGACTTGCAGGAAAGGGTCAGAGTAACAGAAGCAAAGGGACAAAACTGGTCTCCACTCACTTTTCTTTCTATGAAGCATTTGAGGTGGCAGCTGATACAAAAATACACATGACAAGCAAGAAAACATCCACTAATAAAATCCGGGTAGGAAAATGTACAAGTCAGTACGGAGGGCTGACTTGGGGCGCATGAAGGCACAGGACTGCATCTAAGCTTCACAGGCGGCCAAAGCAAAACAAGAAGGGCCATCCATTTCTGGATTCTCATAACAGCATCTTTTTCTCCCTTTCTGCATCTCAAAGGGGATCAGAAAAACACCCTGTCTATGAATGATGAAAGCACTGGAAAAGTGAGAGGATGGATGGAAAATAAAACTGGCAGAAGGAGACTGACATCAGCCTATTAGCTGACAAGGGACGACCCCAACGGAGTAGGAAAAGATCGTGTTTGCATCTGGAGATAACGGTACCACAATGTAGCCAGGGTATGGACTCAGCTGACTATATTCCAAGTCACCGTGATTGGAAAGTGGGAGTGGAATGTGGGCGTGCTGTGCTGTGGGGTGGGAAGGAAAGAGGTTTATTCCTCCTGCAAGACTAGAGACAGTGTCCGATGTTCTCTCTTCTGCTCTCCAGGCATCTTGACATTTTTAGAATCCCCTCTAGCTTGTTACATTCCCACTCAAGCATCAGTGTTGTAAAATACATTTTACACAAATCCTGAAGCTATCGAGGACATTTTTTCTTCAAGATTTGCTTTCAGCAAGACAACTTTAACTTGGTGCTCTTTCAAACTGCTTCCGAAGTGTGCTGACACTGCTGGGCTCTCGGTGACCTGACGGAAGATGCACAGCTAATCAAGTGCCACAGATTTAACATGCGTCACTGCAGCCAGGGGCCAGAGGGGCACCAATGGCCTGTGGGGAACATTCTCAACCATGCTGCCTAACAGTGCTGTTAATGTATTTACTTAGTGGAAGGGGAATTATTATGTAACATTGATCAATAAAATGCCTAAATATTATTGAATTACATGATGAAGAACTGCAGAAGCAGAATCAGAGAGGTCATTAACATCTGTGAGAATAGTCATTTGCTGGTACAATAAGAACTAGTTATTAAAAAAAAAAGCACTAACCATATTCAAACTGTAGGCTTTTAACCACTGACTGAGCAAAAATGCAATCTAAATAGAAAAATCATGCTCTTTTTGAAGATGAAAAGCTCCTATTTTTCCAATCTAGTAAGATTACATGGTTTATTAGGTTTTGCCTTTATTTTTAAGAAGCCCTTTGAATAAGAATTTTAATATAAAGATCTATTAAAAGTCGAGAAACAGAACATTCTTAATCTCGACATCATACAGTAAATGCCAACATGCTAAACTTACAGATTTCCAGAAGTATCCTCACCATGATTTCTGCTTTGTATATTACCTTTGCTAATTTCTAAGTCCACAGGATATTCGATATTTTTGATGAGCTTCTGACATCCACCAGTCTTCTCATAAACAAATCGTTTAAGGTGTAACACAAGGACAGGAGGCAGTTTTTCCAGAGTCACTCTTCGACTTATCTCCACCTAAGACACAAAACACACAAGGACACATCACCTGTCTTACTCAAGGCAGCAGACACGGCCATCTCCAGTTCCCAACTCTGCGCGGCGACTCCTCTCAGGTTCTGAGGCAGTGCTTAACCGTTGTTGTGTCACAGAATCTTCTGAGACTCTAACAAAGCTACTGACACTCTTAGAAGAATGCACACATCCCCATAACACAGCTGTACAGGCTCCCTGCGCTCCAGGAAGCCCACCCATGAACTCCAGGTTAAGAACCTTTGTTCTGTTGCATTAACAACAACATGACATGAAAATAAAAAAGCTAACTTAGCAGTACCTTCAATTATGTACATATTAACCTGCTTATAATGAGCCCTGGTGGCACAGTGGTTAAAATACTTGGCTGCTAATCAAAAGGTTGGCAGTTCGAACCCACCAGCCATTCCACGGGAGAAAGATGTGGCAGTCTGCTTCCATAAAGTTTTCAGCCTTGGAAACCCCATGGGCCAGTTCTACTCTTTCCTATAGGATCGCTATGAGTCGGAATTGACTCAACAGCAGTGAGTAACCTGTTTTTTAATAACTGTCATAGTATTTATTAAACTGATGTCAGTTAGTTTTATAACAGTTTCACTTTTATCAATTTAATATGTCCCTGAAGTACGTTCACGGGTCTAATGAGTGCTGCTTTGAAACACAGCTAGGTTTTTTTTTAAATTAAAATGCTTCTTCCAAATAATATTTAATCCTTTCATTTATAGTTCTCTGTACTTATAAACCATTTCATGCTTTTTGTATTTATTTGGAGAACACTGTTACTAGAAGTATTTTTAAAAGAAATAATCCAAAAACCAGAAGCATATATAAAATAATAAAAAAACTTTCAGGGGCCTATATTCATCTCTGGTTGAAAGTTTTTTAAGGACACCAAGCACAGCCATTAGCACTACTTGGGTTTACAAGCCATGCCTGCCTTCTTACCTAGACGAAGACCCCTGGGTGTGGAAATCAAGCTTTGTGCTTCCTCCTATTCCCATCGTGTTTACAACCTAGCACACTCAAGAAGTATTTGTGAACTAATGAAAAGTGTGAACACAGCTCAACAGTTAACCAGAGATGACTCTAGTTTCCATGGCTCGTTTCCTAACTTGCAAATCATGAGAGCTGGACCAAGGTAAATCTTGGGTGCTTTTTAGAGATCTATGACTCTAAAATCTTCAGTCAGTTCAGTAAGTGGCTAATCTCAACTTTTTATTTACATTTGCATTTTGGATTTCCAGATAAACTGAGGCACTTTCTAAGCACTAATAAAACCAGACTTCTCCTATATAGCATATTTTGTACAGTCGTATTTTCTCATGAACCTCCATGTGTTCTCAGAAAAGACTTTTGACCTAAAAAATAATAAAAAGTAAACTCAGTATTTTAAAAAGTAAATTTAAAAAATCACATTCAAGAAAGTGTTATTTGCTCTTCACAGATTTTCCTACAAGCTAGCCAACATCTTCCTTCCTCAATCATCTGTTTTTACAAATGCTCTTGATCTCATCTGATAATACACTACCACAATCACACAGCCGGAACAGGTAGCATCATTCTTTCTCATATTTCAAGGCTTCACCAAAATGCCACTTCTCTCTTGAAGCTGTCCTTTAAACCAAATTCAAATTTAATTCAATTCAAATTTATATAGAATAAATCAGCCTTTCCTCACCACTCTCTAACATTAGTTAGGCCAACAACTATGGCCATCTCAACCACCCCCCTTCTTCTGACTCAAACTTGAAATTTGATTGCAGTAGAAAGAATAACAGATGTATCATGAAAAGCGTCTTTCTTGGGTAGCCTAGGGAAAGGCTAAATATCTCCCCAGCAAGACCAGTGGCTAAAGACTCCCACGGTTTGGATGAAAGAAGAGAGAAAGCAAGAATTGTGGCTACAGCTGCCAGGGACAGTAATCCCATCTCTAGAGAGTCACAGCTGCCATAGAAATGAGTCAAGTTGACAAAATCACCCACAGCCAAATACACACACCTAACCACACCAAACAACAACAAACATCCACCATCTCTCTCTCTCTTCCATTAAGTTCCACTGCCAGGCTCTTCTCAGCTCATTCACTTAAGCCGACTGCCAAGTGTCTGTCTCTGGCTCTTACTACTTTTTCTTTTTTAAAAAAACAAAAACAAAAACAAAATTGTCCACGAGAAGAAAGTCAGAAAATATGGTGGGAGATGAGGCATGACTATTGCAGTTCCCCCAAGAGTGTCTGGATTCACCAGCCCAAAGAGGAGACACTCAGATGTACTAAAGGTCCCCATGTCCTACTTTTGCGCTTCCATATTTAGAGAACAAGCCGCAAGACAAGAACAGGTCTACCTCAGCCATACAACACGGTGGTAGGTTTTCTATGTTGGGACGTCTTATTTCATCTGAAAATAATGCTTCATAGCTGCCATAAACTGCCCTGTTATTTAAATAAAACTTTACAGGAATACTATAAACTGTTCAATAAATACTGCCCATAACTAGCCTGCATTCATCTCCCCAACTCATTTTTATGAATTCACTGCCACAGTCTAACACATATAAGTAACTAACAGAAGTTCTTAACTGTAAAGCAGAAAACGCATCAACTGCCACATGTGGCTAGCCAATAACTAGCAAGCTCTTACTCTACTTTAAAACCAGTTAAAGCAGAATATTGCCAATCCCTCCTGAGTTGACAGGGCCTGATTTCTAACATGACAAAGAACACCACTCAGCTAGTCTCCTACTCTTCTGAATTGCGCAGACTGAATGACTAAGAGTTCATCCTTTTCATATCTAATCAAAAAGTAATAGCAATCAGAACAACTACTTTATAGTTTTCACATCCTTGACAATCTACAATCAAAACACAAACCAGAATGTGTGTAGCATCTCTTTTATAGCCTAACTAATCTAATGAAGATAGTGCCCTAGGATACAATGAATGTAAATAAGCTCTTCAGCCTGTCAGAGGTGGTATTAATTTTGTGACATCATGATTAAATTACCAGAAATTAAATGCAGCAAAGGATAAATAACCCAAAAGGAGACATCACCTCACATTACATGAATTTAGAGCTAAAAGAGATTTTTGGGATCATCTGCTTCAATCATTTCATTCAAAAAATGTGGAAAATTTCAGTCCAGAAAAGTTAAGCAACTGATTTAAGTGGTAGAACTAAAATCTATTTCCTCTGATTCCTAACTCTATGTTCTTCCCACCACATCAGGTGAGTGCCTCAGTATAAAAGTTTAAGACCAACTTTGTATATACCTCTTGTTTGGTTTTTGTGGTGTAACCTTGGACAGACTCTCTTGCCACCAAGCTTTCCAATGCATCCTGGACGGTGCGTATCTTGTCAGACTGGATGTCCAACTGCAATGTGAAGAACGGCTGCAGCGTGGCAGATTCTTTTGAACTTTGCTGGTAAACCACAGACCTAAGAAGTGAAAACAAAAACAAAAAATTTAAGAGACCACGCCTATACTCACTTTCCTTTAAGATGAACTAACAAAAGAAGAATGGACATTCAAAATAAGATTTTTCAATATCACTTTTAGAAGACCAGAAAGAAAACCAAAAATACACTGAATTGAAAGACTTCTGATGAATACCATGTAAGTGTTTCTAACAACATAGTCTAGCTGTTAGTAAATTTTCTCAACTCAAATGGTCTGGAAGAAACCATACTTTGTCTTCCAAATTCTTTCACCTCCACCCCACATTATTATTTAACACACCAGTTAAATAATTGAGGCTATTTTGCTACAGTCTCAAAATGCTCACTTTTTGTTTTCTCAAAGTATTATAGCCTGGTCTAATAAAACAGGGGGGATCTCAAGTTGAATATTTTTAATGGCATTCTCCCCCTATATAACTGACTTTAAAAAAAAAGAAGTGGGAGTAGGGTGTGTATAATAAAAAACAAGTTAACATTCCAGGAAAAATGGCTACTACCCTTCTAAGAAGAAAAGTACCCATTCAGCTTTGTTTTCTTAGCTGGTTTTTCATTTCACTTTTCTTTTTCTAAGTTTCTCTGAGTAAAGATTGTGTGCTCGGGCCATCTCTCATTTAGCCTCAGTAAGGAAACATTCCAGTAGTTCAACAAGGGATTCTATTTCTGCAGTCTGAGTGACCTAGTTTATAAAGGGAATAAAATGGGTGTGGGTAGGTATTCAGGCTTCAGAGAACAGATGCTGTGAATAGCAGGTTAAAAGCTTTTCAGCCCAGTGTTTGACATACATTGCTTCCAACAGACACACACACACACACACACACACCAAACCAAACCCATTGCTGCCAATTGATTTCAACTCACAGCAGCCCTACAGGACAGAGCAGAACTGCCCCCATAGGGTTTCCAAGGCTGTAAACCTTTATAGAACAGACTGCCAAGTCTTTCTCCTGCAAAGTGGCTGGCAGGTTCAAACAACCAACCCTTCGGTTAGCAGTCGAACACTTAACCACTGCACCACCAGGGCTCCTCCCCAACACAAGCTATTACAAAGTATCTCCACATTCCTTTTCAGTATAAAGACTTAAGTGACAGCTACACCCTTGGTTCCAAAGAGGAACAGTGGGAAAACTAGTCATTAAAATTGATGAAGAAATCAAGAAACAACCTTCTTCACTACAAAGGCCCGTAATTTATTACAGAGAAATGGGTGGGGAAACGTGCTGGTCTTTCTGGGGAAACTGAACAAATACCTGGAGGGCCTGAATTTTAGAAGATAATCTTTCAACTTGTCTGAATAAAGAATCATGCTTCATGACAGCTGCGATAAATAGAAAAGAAGTTCCTCCTAAATTCTGAGGTAATTTCTTATCTTTGCTTTACCATTTTTCAAAAAGAATTGTTAACAACCAATTTCAATACAAAGACCCACAGAGGCCAAGGCTAGTGGCCATGACAGTCACTCAAGCAAAGCTAGTAATTTTTCCAAAGTGGATTGTGTTCTTCCTGGTCATTCTTAGACAAATCTGGGATCTTTGGGTAGTGTTAGCCATCTGTGGCCTTGCAATGATACCCCACTTATGCCCCAAATGGTGCTCATATACATCTGAGCCGTTCCGTTATCCCCTCTCCCATCTCTCAGTGAGTGTTCCAAGAATCTTAACATTCAGGCTGCTGGCTTAACAGACACTTAAAGACACAGACAGCCTTCTCACACTGCTGTTAGCAAACCTGGACACCAGCCTGCCTCCTTCCCCAACATAGTCCATCCCAAGGAACCAAATCCAGCAAAAGCCAGTTACAGCTGTGGAGCAGCAGCAGTGACTGACCACATAGATGACACAGAGTCATTCCAGGACACAAAGATGACAGCAAAGAGCACAGAAATGACTCGTTCAAGGACACATTGCTGACTGACTTCTAAACACAGCCCTAAACAGGTTCATTAACTTGCTTCTGAGTGAGTCTGTGCATATTTTCTGAGGTTTTTACTAGCCTGTTGAAATTGGTCAATCGAAGTTGTTTTAGAGCAGAGATGGAAGAGTAAATTAACTCCTGAAGCCTTGAAAAGGGCATTATTTCTTTCAGATACACAGCATTTGGGACAAAAAATATGTTAAGAGTCTCACTAAAATACCACCCTTGTAGGTTATATGCTGAGAGGCCTTCAGAGAGGAAATTATGTTAGAATGAGGTTCTCTTAGTACTTCTGGTGAGTAAACCTCCTGGGAGACGGTACATGTTTTACTGAATTCCACATCATGGTATCGAAAGGCTCTAACATAAATAAACATTCTTAGGGGGACCTCGTGAGCCAGCAAAAGGCAGCTGGTTTAAGGGGCCCTGACTCAGGCCTCCAAGTATTCCTGCCTATGCAATGCTGTCCCCTTTAAAAATATGTCTCTTCATGCTTGTTTAATGTTTTGACTTCACTTGGTTACGGTGCCTAAAATTCCTCCAATCAGATACATTTGGATTAATGGATTTTTCCTCTTAACAAAAAACATGTATTTCAATGAATTTGCTTTTCTCTTCTCATTGAGCTGTGATCAGCTGGACTGAAGGAATTGAGTGTGGGTGGAGAAAGGGTGAGAGGCACTCGCTGCCCTCTGCATGAATGCCATCCTGGGCAGGGTGAGAGCAGTGGGGCCAGTAAGAGAAGAAGCATCAGGAAACGCAAGAGACGAGCAGGCAGGGAATTGTAAAGGCAAACCACCGATTCAAAGTTACTTAGGACAAGTCCTACACCTTCCCACTTTATCAAAATGGCAAAATCCTGGAAAAGGCAAGTACTAAATTATTCCAGAAAAGCATAAACCTGATGTGTCCACCAAAAATGCCAGTGATTGGGGTCTGAACAAAATCCGCCTGCCGAGTGACCGAAGTCTTATTTCTGGGGCCCACTTGCTCCCATTCGTCCTCACTTCCTTCGCCTTGTTCTTCCTGCTCTTCTTCATTTACCAAGTGGCTTTTGGGTCCATTGGAAACAGTAAGTTCTGAAAAGTAGAGAGTCTGCTTAGGCTATTTACAGCAACAGTCCGAATAAAAAGGTTCAGCATGAACCACCTAAATAGATTTGTCAATTTATAGTTTTAAAAACAAAATCAGGGTGTGTTCTAGATTAAAATTTACTTACAAACAAATGCAAACGTGCAACTTTACTGAATATAAAAGGTATTCTTGGGACAACTGGAGAACTCCAAAGCTTGACTGGAAAGTAGACTTTATTAAATAAGTAAATTACCACAATTTTAGCAAATAATGTGCCCACGTAAACGCGCACACACAATGCACCGAAATGATGACATTATGTAAAAAGTTCCGGTATAGCACACCCATGCATACACCATGTATGTCTCGTAACATTTTCAGAAGTGAATTTCAGCCTCATTCACCTTCATTCAATAGTCAGAAAATGTTAATTTGATGATACTTATTTGAAAAAAGTATAAGCCATGGTCAAGAAGTCATGGATTAAGTTTGGTAGTACCCTTGGTACTCAGAAAATAAACAACTGAAACCGTGCATTTGCTCTGGGGCAGTTCGCAGTTGGGCCTGAGAGCGATGCAGTTCCTTGTAGTTGATTTGCGCCCAGGTATGCCATGCTGGAGACTTGTGGAGGGTCAGGTGGAGGACTGTGCGTGGGGCTGCCACAGCTTGAGCACAAGCTGGTCACGCAGCAGGTGGGTGACATTGCCTGAGCATCTCCAGGAGCCACGGTGCCAGCCCTACGTGAAGCTGGGCGGCAGGACGGTATAGGAGTGGTGCGCACTGCCCCGGCCCTTCGGGGCCCCTGGGTGGCCTGTCAGACCTGTCTCAGCCAAGCAAGGGACACGTGACCCCTCTGCACCTGCGGCTCTCACTCACCGCACAGGCAAGAGATTCAAAAGGCCTGAACGCAGTGGCCGGCCAGCTGGACAGTGGGTTGCAATGTGTGCGGCACACCGGCTTGCCCGTCTGATCGGCCTCTCCAGTCATGTGCACAGATTCATGCACCTCCTGGGCAGGGGCCAGCTGCCCTGGCAAACGCTATTTCCCGGGCAGAAAAAGTGATTTCTTCCTGCATTGGAGAAAGCAATTTGCAGAGCAGGGAAGGAATTCTGCCGGGAGAGGGACTGCTTTAGAAACTCGAGGGTAGGCTGGTGAGGGTCTGGGCTTCTAGGAATCAAATCTCCGCATCAACAGCCACCAAGACAAAGACTCAACATTAAATCCATCGGACAAAAAAAAAGAAACTGAAGCCAGTAACATGTAAAAAAATACGGATATAGCATGCTTATGAAAATAATGCACAGGGGAGGGGTTTGTGTGGTATGCAAAAACGAACAACATGCACACGTTATTTTCCTAAAAATACGATACTGTTATCTTTCTTAACATAACTTGTTGTTATGTAGGAGAGTATCCTTATCTTTAGGAGATGCATACTTTAGCATTTAAAGGTGCAGTGTACTGTTATCTGCAACTTAATCTTGAATCACTCAGGAAAAAATGTGTACATATATATAGTGTATGTGTGTGTTTGTGTGTGTGTGTGTAGAGAAAGAGAAATAATGATAACATGTTAACAGTTGCAGAATCTAGCAGTTACATACACATATTCATTGAACTATTCTTTTGGCTTTTCTGTATGTTTCATCATTTTCCTAATTAAAAGTTGAAGAAAAAAAAGCAGTTCTTATTTATTCAAATATAACATTTTCAATGGGACATAATAGGCAAGGTAAAAACAACTTCTTGTTGTTAGCTGCCATCAAGCCAGCCCCCAACTCACAGCAACCCTATGTACAATGGGATCCGACTGTTGTGACACATAGGGTTTTTACTTCTTCGTAGTCTTGTTCTGGAAGCTCTGCTGAAAACTGTTCAGCACCACAGCAACATGAAAGCCTCCACTGACAGACAGGTAGTGGCTGCACTTTGAGGGTTATTGGCTGGTAATCAAACTCAGATCTGCTGCACAGAAGGCAAGAATTCTACCACTGAATCACCACTGCCCTCTGTAAAAATAACTAGTTATCTTAATCAGTAAATAAGTGATTGTGAAGGGCAGATGAATACTGGGGTGGGGGTGGGGGAAGAAAGCAACTTATCTATGAGCATCCAGCATTTGTTTAAAAATAATTCTTAAGAAAATGTTCTCACACAATTATGTAGCAAATACTTATGACACAACCTACTTTCGTTATTTGGTGAGAGAAGTTTCTTTAGATTCAACATTTCCTCATGAAGTCCATTGAGAATAAAGCCTAAGTATTCCTCAGCATCTTCTTGTCGGCCCTGAAAAGGTCAAATATGATTACACTGATTTTAACTGATTACTGTTCAAGGTTGACAGAGTAGATAGTACCTGCATATTCAAACTTACCCCCTCTGAAATTCTGAAGAAAATTTAATGTAAAGTACATTTTTTTAAAAAGATTTTTTTTCTTGAGATAGTTGAGACCCCAGGAAAAAAAAAAACAGATTAAACAGTTCATCTCTAGACAGTGGAACTAAAGAGGATGTTTATTTACGTTTTTCTGTATTTAAAATTTTTTCCTACAATAAATATACGTTAGCTTTATAATAAAAATGTTATTTAAGAGTTGCTTTTTTTGCTTAAATGAAGTAGAAGAGCAAGAGCTAGACGCCTAAGCCACCACACTGACATGCCCAGGGGTTCTCATTCTCACTGTGAGTTGAAATGAGCAGTCTGGTATGCCTCCACTGCCTGTAATTATGGGAATCTAGAAGGGAAGGGGCTCAAATGATGTTTGAAAAAACTCTACTAGCGACCGGTGTCTGTGTGATCAGCCCCCAATAAAAACCCCGAACGCTAAGCCTTAACGTACTTCCCTGGTAGACAACATCTCATATGTGTCGTCACAACTCCCTGCTAAGGAATGAAGCATGTCCTGTGTGACTCCACATGGAGAGGGCCCTTGGGAGTGTGCATCTGGCTCCCTGGGGCTTTGTCCCACATGCCTTTTCCCTTTGCTGATTTTGGTTTGTACTCAAGGTAGAGAACAATACAGTGGTTAAGAGAACTGACTCTAAAGCCAGACTTGCCATTTTATTCTCTGACACTGGACAGTGACTGCACTTTTCTCAACTGTCAAAATGAGACAAGAATACTTATTCATAAGGTTGAATAAGCTAACATATGTAAAGTAATTAAACAGTACCCAGCACACAAACACTACATAAGTTAGCTCTGATTACGATGGTGATTATCAACAGTACATGCTTTCCATTCACCCAAGCACTTGACTCCATAATAAGCCCTGATCTACTCCTGAACACCCAACATACTGCAGCACTTGAAAGAGAGGGCAAGCTTGGAATAAGTAACAGTAACCAGAGCCTCATGCAAGTAACACTTCATACTGGCTACATTTGATGGTCCCAAACCTTTTCAGACAGGCTCGACTTGATCACTGTCAGGAGTCTATAAATATACGTGGGCTCAAAGGCAGCTCCAGGGCGGATGTCCCTCATGATTTTATCCCCAAGAGCTAAAATGGAAACAGGACACAGATTTTCAGAATTACAAGGTATCTTTATATGATGAAACGCAAAGTCATCAAAACTTCCCACTAGAACGTTGAGAACAGCATCGGGGCAGCAACCTGTATCTTCTTTCCAACATGTCTGAATTTACCAAATTCAGTCACTTGACTCTGTAACTCCCAGTATGTAATGGTCTCGGGAGACTGCATATTTACTCACCTTGCCTGGGTTTTGGAGGTACTGGCATATTAGTGAACTCATTCATTAACCGAACACTAAGTATGAAAAGAAAAAAAAAAGTTAAATAATGCGTTAAAAAAAGACATACTTTTACTAAAGATCCTTGATGGCTAAGCAGAACATTAATATTAACACAGTAGACTTTAGTTACCAGTGGTCTTGTAGCTAGTGAGTTCTTAAATCTTTTCTATAAAAGTTTCTGGTGTATTTAAGTGACAGATGCTAATAAACACAGAAACGTCTTCTACTGAATCTGAAGAACACAGACAAACAATGCTCCAATTCCATTTATTTAAAAAAAAAAAAAAAGAATCATAGGACCCATTTGCGAGAAATCAAGAACTTTCGTAAGCTATTCAAATTCTAATTATCAGAAGGGAAAAACCACCCCCTTAATACCTTTTTAAATGCCTTACTTACAAGCTATCTATCATGGGTGTTGATGTACAAGGCCGTTGCGCTTTGGAATACACAGGAATGAACTTCATCAGGTGATACATTGGAGGGCAAGCAACCAATGCCTGCAGCGTCTAAATATTGGCAGTAAGGAAGCGTAAAGGAAATGAAACAGACACACCAAACATCTTAAAGGCACATTAAACACACGAGTATATAAAAACTAAAGAAACCAAGGACACTGAACTACCTAGATGTGTAAACACAAAAAGGAATAAAGCAAATAATCACCAGGATAACTGCCTTACCCACATAAGGATTTACTATGCAATCATTAGCTTATATACAAGAACTTGATTCAACCAAGAAAATCAAATGAACTAAAGCCAATTTCCAGTTTTAAGAGGTCACTCTGTCCTACTAGGACCATTCTAATGAGACCAAAACTTGGCCTGATTCTCTCTTTTGTTTTGGTAAGGGATAACCTCGTTTCTAATGAATCAAGTTTTAGGATTCAGGATTTGGGTTAGATGCTCCATGGACGCTGAACTAAGTCAAATGCACCCAAGGAAGAGAACACTGCAGGAAGTGAGCGGCTTTGGGGACAGCGTCCGAGAAGGATACAGCATTAATGTAGCACCAGTTTCCTTTATTGATCAGCCCACGGGGTTGCAATGACACTGGTTTATGTATTAGGGTTACAGTCTCCAATAACTCTGAAAGATTGAAGAAGCATATTTAAGAAATTAATGACATCTAGTGAACAACAATTTTATCAATTCTTACGCTCTACTCTGGGGAGAGTTAATCTCTTCAATAAAGCATACCTCCAAAGAAAAGGTATTTGTTGCTATTGGTAAAGTTATGTTCAGTTCAACAGCATGTGCATTATTAAATAATTTTTTTTTTCAAATTAGTAATTTTCCCAAACACCAACATGTATTTATCCTCCTGTGGGAATATAACGAGAGATCACAAGAACTATCTATTTTAATAAGAAACAGAAAACTTTTAAAAACCATAGATAAAGGAGTGTGCTTCTTAGCTCAAGTTGATATATGAGACTAAATGGGCAGCTTCTGTCCGGAGGTGAGATGGGAAGGTGGAGAGGGTCAGGAGCTGGTTGAATGGATATGGGAAATCAGGGGGGGAAAGGAGGAGTGTCCTGTCACAGAATACGGAGAGCAATTAGGGTCACATAACAATGTATGTATAAACTTTTGTATGAGAAACTAACTTGAAATGTAAACTTTCACTTGAACTACAATAAAAAAAACTAAAAAAAAAAAAAACACAGACAAGTATTAGAGAATAGATTTCAAAGATACAGTCCTTTCTTCTCAAAACACTGATTGCCAGATACACCTCATTAACAATGCAAGTCCCTCAGACACCAGCTATGAAGGTGCTGATGTCCAGAACCTGAATCTCATTCACTTCTGAATCCCGGCAACAAAGAGTGCATGCAATACAGCCTAGTGGGTGCTCAGTGACAGTTCAGTGAGTAAAGATACTCCTCTTTGGGACGGCTGTCCCCTACTAATTAAACTGTATTTTTCCATTAGAAGTCCAATTTGGGGACTGTTTTGTACACTGTATTTCCTTTATTCTGTTTAGAAACAAACCTGACTTCTTATCCTCAGATTAACCTTGTGACATTATACCTCTTCATAGTTGTAAGACAGCTGCGAATGCCATCTTTATACAGTTAACCAACAGAAATGCTTAAAAACGAGACAAGGTCTCCCTATGTCCCATTATGAATCTTACAGTCATGATTAACTACAATTTACTAGGCACTTTCTACACTTACCATGTGCTTTGCAATCTACAAGTGTTAACTGGCTACATTTAATCCTAGTACCACTAGCCCTGTTCACCAGTAAGGAAACTGAGGCTCAGAAGGATTAAATAGATTGCCCGTGACCACCCAGGGCGTGCATAGGACATCCAGGGCCTGAGATTCACAATCTGGTGGCCATACCACACTGCACCCTTTATTTTTAAACTGTGTACTAGGAAAGAAAAATTAATTAGGAATACTTTTGATATTAGTATCCATCTAAGGTATCACTCAAAGAAAAGAAGTCTTTCTTTTCTAAAACACTGTTATACAGGCAGGCTCTGGACTTAAGCACTAGTCAAATACAGATATTAATTTGCAAAATTCAAATGTCAACACACACAAACTCATTCCCTGCTGTCAGTACAAGATCTATCTGAAACTCCCTTTCTATGCCAATTGTTTTAACAAGGGCAAAAACATGTTTACAAATGGTCCAAAAACTGGTAAGAATATTTTGAATTCAGATCTTGTAAATTAAAAAAAAATCATTATGACAAGGCTAACCCCAATCTCAAAAGGGAAGTAGGAGCAAAATAAATCAAGAACTAGCTGCCTAAGCTCCATTTGGAAGCCCATCTCCTTGTGTCTCAGCTGAGCCACAGGCCCAGAATCATTGGCACAGCCTGGACTATCCAACAGTCAAGCTCTGTGGAGTCAGAGAATGCATCCAATTTAAGATGACTACTTTCCAACATTTACTGGGGAACAACACTACTGATGAGCAGAAACCTTTAGTTTTCACATCAATCCTTCCCTCGAATCAATGCCAGCTTGTAGCCATTACTTTTGGTTTGCTTATTTTGAGGAGCAGGGAGGTAAAAACCAACTGTTTAGCTTCCACAATGTTGAGTTCAAGTCTTTCAGCATCACCTAGTGGTTTGTTTCATAACTGCCAAGTAACAGAACATTCAAGGTAGATTTTTTTTTTTAATTTTGAATTGGTCCTTTCATCAGCATGCCTTCTATTAGCAAAAACACATGGTGTCAACAAAAAACTCAAAGGAGATAATAATTGGGTTATCAAAAGATTATATAATGTTATTATATATATGTATAACCAAACCAAACCCACTGCCACTGAGTTGATTCTGACACATTCAAGGTAGATTTTTATCTGCAAAATCAAAAAAGTAAAACACCCCAAAACATTATGCAGAGCAAAAGGTCACTCAGTACATTTATTAAGACAATGTCCTGAACTACCGTCTTTCCAAGCTTCACCACTCTTTGAAACAGCCTTCCGGTATACTAATCTTAAAAGTAGAGCTTCACAAACTTAGAAAACAGACAAGAGACACTGAACAACCTAGGTTTTTCTAAATGATTATGCTGTTATTTTAGAAAAGTTTTCTCTACCGTGGCAAATCTTCCATAAGCTAAAATACAGGATTGCTCTGCTGTATCTTCCAATGAGCCAAAATCCTACTGTCAAACAAAGACTGACGGGTAAGTCTCTTCCCTGAAGGCCCCGAAGATTGTAACACCGTGTATCTCCATGGTAGCAGGTATCATTGCTATCTACCTTGTATTAGCAATGTGTATCTTCTTCCTTGGACAGGAAGCTCCTTCAAGACAATATCCTCATGTTGCTCATTAGACAATAATATGGGATGAATTAAACATCTGGTGATTAAAGGTGTAGGTCATGGCAAGTGACTCCACTTAAGTTTGGTAGCAGTGACCTAATGGGCTTTAAAGGTCTAGTTTTACAACATAGTTCAGAAAGTCTACAGGAGAGGCTCCGTGGAAAAGGATAAGGGCAAGAGCCCAGGCACACAAATCAGAAACACTTGGGTTCAAACCCCGGCTCTGTACTTACTTCGTTTTGCGACCTGGAGCAGATCACTTAACTCCTCACCTGAAGCCCAGAGATAGCTGCACCTTGCACAGCTATAGTGAGAATTAGCAATAATGTAAATAATGTATAGAAAGCATCTAGCATGGTAGACAGCTCATCGCAGACACTCAATAATCCTGATTCTAAAATAAAGAGCTAATACAGGTGGAAAGAGAAGGAAAAAGAAATTAATTTATGGACGTTTGGGAAAACTAACAATTTGTGGAGTTCCAAGAAAAAATAAGTTAGCTTAAATTCCTTACAGTTTTGAACATTTTGTGAATATACATTAATAAAGTTCCATTTCTAATCAATGTCACTAAACTGTACATGTAGAAATTGTTGAACTGGTGTACGTTTTGCTGTGTATGTTCTCAATAAAATTAATAAAATTATTTAAAAAATAAAGTTTCAAAAAGTTCCATTTCAAAAGAAATAAAAGATTGTGAAAAATTAAGATTTATTACCTTATTGTCTAGGATTTTTTCTTAAAAACTAATTTCCAAAAAATATAAACGTTCAGTTTTCTAACATATTGTACATTGAGCTTCCCTCTCCCCGCTAAATAATTCCAATTACCACAAACTAAACCAGACAATAAACACTTAACAAAGTTCATCAGTGAGCTCCTCTTCTTTTACCTTGTAGTGAAAGAACACTGGTGCAAAGCTATTCTAATTCTTTGTAAATAGTCAACACTATTACTGAACTGAATTCTGTCAAAATGAATAAAACCAACTACTACAAAAGTCTATTATTCTTGATTTATACACAAGCCAGTATGAACACTGCTTTCAATTTTCTAGTATCACTTTTTGCTCTACTTAAGTTCCTTTTATAACAACATCACCATTTCCATTTGATTCCTGGCCTGAAGTTCAAATAGCACTATAGCTGTGGAAGTGAAAAGGATCAAGCACTGGGAAGGGTGGCCACAAAGGACTAAAAGGCAGAGAAGGCCAGGCATTTGAGGCTGAAACTTTAAATATGACCTGCATTCCAAAGTAACTACTGTTGGTTTATCTATTTCACTTCACCTTCTTTAAGGGCAAATAATCAGAAGATGACTGACTAACTTAATACCCATCCCACCTCTCAGAGGCCTTATTTTCAATTTGTCACTGTTGGTGTAATGTACTACTTAGATCTATTTAGATACAACTTTGGGAAGATGGCCTAATCCATGAATCTTTCTCATAGAGCAGCTGGTGGGGCTGCCCAGAAAGGTGTTCTGGTACAGAATGACTGAATGACTCCACACCACAAAGAAGACACAAAATTGAAACTGGTGTCTTCACTTTTGTAATAGCTCAGATATTAAATGGCTGAATTAAAGTTAAGCTTTAATATCCTTTATCTCAAGACACATGGCTAGCTGACATGTGTTGCCACAAACTACTTAACAGAAATGATTTATGAACTCAATGGTGATACTAGCATTATAAACTTTTATGTCAATATAAGCTATGATTACTCTTACACATATTTCATGTATTAAATTTTGCTTTACTAAAATTAGGATTTACAGTCATATTACCATTTAAAATCTATGAAAATGCAAGGTGCAGAACATTCACTGATATTTCTAAGGCTCAATAACTGGCCCATAATTGACATTCTGACCTTGTTGCCCTGCTTTTCTGTCATCTTTCTAACTGTTCAGAACATTCTTCAAGTGCTTTCCCTTTCCTCATTACCACCACTTTTGAAGAACACATGCTATCTTGGGTTATCTAACCAGAAGGAGGACAGCAGACTGACCAAACTGTACCACTGCCCACTGGTTATAGATCAACTTGTTTTATAAATGGAGAAGTCTCAATTTCGTTCTATACAATAGGGACATATCATAAACATTAGCGAGGAAATACACATATTGACTCAAATATGGATTGAGCTCTCAATCCACTAGCATAAATTCCTGGAAAGAGGTGCTATACTTTTTTTTTTTTTTTTTAAACTTAGACAATGATATATTATCATTGCCTTTGCTACTTTAGAGAGTTTGAAGAGGAAATGTAAAATATTTGAGAAACCATTTCCCAAGAGGGGAAGTATACATACAATTTATAAACCACCAAAACTACAAAGATTAGTCTTATATTTTCATTTACAGCAAAAATATATACGAGCGCAGTAATTCATCATTCTGAGCAGACCCAACTTGTAATGGCCTGTGTTGCTCTCATGTTTTGGACATAATATTACTGTGCAAAATCATATATTAAATGGGTTTTGACTAACAATTCACAATAAATGACATTCCTACATAGATACTTTAATTTCCTCATAGAACAGAATTAAATTCTTAGAGCTGTCAAAGATCTCAGTTTATCTAGTTTTCCTTCACTGGAATTTTGACTAATTTGATTTGGACATTTGGTCTAGTCTCTCTGCTTATCCAGGATTCTTTACACTCCTTTAAAAAAGAATATACTGACACACATTTTTAAAGGCAAAACAGAAAATACAAAATAGCTCTATTTGTGATTTGCAAGTGTTTGATACAATTTAGGTTTGGGATATAACAAATGTTCTTTAGGAAAGACCCAAGAAAAGTTTAACATTCATTAAAAGCAAGTGTTTACTTCCAAACATCATATGTACCATCAAGTCTTGATTATCTATGCTAATGAAGGAGGCAATAGTATAGATCATCCCTACAGTACTTGTGTATGTCATACTTACTCTTGAATATGGGTATGTCTAATGTTTGGCAACCATTTTCAAACACAAGCTATTAAATTTTCTAGTTTGCTTTTCTTGCCTCCTGGCTCAGTTATTCCTTAACTGAAAAATGGCAAATATCCCCTCTTAGACTATGCAAGCCACTCACTGAGAGACGGATCCCTTTCAACCCTTTCCAGGCTCTTCTGTTTAAGTTCATACTTCCTTGGGGATAGGACAAAACATTTAGTGTTGCTATGTGTCTTCCTTCCTACCTCCTTATTAAGTAAGAGTTCACACTTAGGAAGAAACAGTAAATGGAACAAAATGTTGACAAATAATCTATACAGAGATGAGAAGGTAACCCTGCCACCAAGAAGGTGAATATAATGGGTAAGCTGTCTACGAGTAATCAGCTCTGGCTCTAATTTCATTTCAAAATGTCTTACATACGATTCTCAGTCTTCTTTCACAGGTGATTAACATTCCTAATTTGTATTTCATTTCTGGTTATATAAAAATTAGTTACCATTTATTAACCATAGACTTGAGCAGACAGCACAGTAATGTGGCTATCAGAAATAATGAACTTGGGATTAAAAAACTGGCTGTGGATATTATCTTAAGAATAGATGTAGTACCTGAATTGTTCTTCTCCCTCTTTCCCAAAAGTAAATATGAGAAACATGAAATTTACTCTGTTAGTAGAGCCAGTTGATACTAACGCAAGTCAAATTCTATTATAAAAACACCAGTAGATCTTTCAATGAAGCTAGAATCTCACTTGGTTAAATGCTGCTTAAAAATAACAGTGTCTATGCTGGAAAGCACACCCATTAAAGGGATTTTTGTGGTACTGTATTTAACTTATGACAAATTGAATATACTTTATCATTTTTATAAAGTAAATCCCTAAATAGGAGATATGACAGAGGGAAAAAAATTCAAAACAAGGCCACTTTACTTAAGCTCTACATGATCCCAAGAGTTACTCTGTGACTACTGTAGTTACATTATTTCAGAGGAAGTAATTAATACAGGAAGACTGTCAACAATTACATTTGACATTTCTAAGGTTCGACAATCAAGGCTAAAAATAAATATTTTAAAAGGAACTACATTTTTGCTCAGATAATTAAAACATCTTTATAACTGGCCTAATCAAAACAGTATTAAGAAAATAAATCTGCTGGGTAGGTATACAATACACCAATTCAAAAATAATTACTTGGACAATTTGTAGCAATGCTCTCCTACATTAAGAGTCCCCTACCATCAGAATCTTTCACAAAGCAGTTGAACAATTACATTTTAACATAGGTAGAACACAGCAAACTATGTATCAAACCACTTTCAGAGTCATGTGGCTATGGCTACTATGTTGAGAAAACACTTAAAATGAAGCTCTTCTTGTTTTAAATAGGGATTTGAGAGAATTTCCCAGGGATGGGAGATTTTCCCTTGTGAAGTAATTTTTAGGAACAGAATTACATAATTACAATGCTTTCATGACTTTGAACTTAGAATGTACATTTTAAGAAGCACCCCATCATGTTCTTTTAGGTTAAAAATAAACTTTTATTTATCTATACAGAGGTTTACACTGTTTAATCCTAACTGTGATAGCTGTCCACTGCAATGAACACATTCTAAAATAAAGAAATTGGCTTTTAAAAAATGTATAAAGTCCAGAGTGATGCTAGTTGGCCTATCAACTATTTTCTTGCCTTAAAAGAATGCCAGAACACCAAGATTATTCAAATTAACATACTTTGTATTGCTGTTGTTGGGGTTCCCTGAGTCAGTTCCAACTCACAGTGACCCTATAGTACAGAGTAGAAATGCCTCATAGGGTTTCCAAGGAGTGACTGGTGGGTTCAAATTGCTGACCTTTTTGGTTAGCAGCCGTAGCTCACTGTAGCTCTCAACCACTGTACCACCAGGGCATAAAGAATAAAATGTATGTTTTTCTAAAAAGTGTTTCTTGCTGTCATCCTACTGCTATCAAAATAATATATTTTAAATCTTTTTGATGGCATTCTAACCATTCATAAAAGGGTGAACACTTTGCTGCCTGTTACCACACTCATCCAGATCCTGGTGATAAATGCTGTCAGGTGCTCCAAAATGGTAATTCAGAAAATATTACAGAAAGTCTAACAATTCAATGACATAACTTATCTTAACTGGGCTAATGGAACAAGAAGCTGAAGAGTCGGCTACTAAACTTCTCAGTAGACTCAAACCTGAAAAAATAGCTCATGATTCTTAGCTACGTACAGGTAGTCCAAGGCTTTCGATGGGGTTCCATTCCGATGACATAAATTGGTTCTGATGTAAGTCAAACACCTCTTCATTTTTTTTTAAAGTTGTTATTATTATTGCCTTTTAATTATCAGTATCTTTATAAATCTGATCTTTGAGTAAACATAGGAGAATGACAACATCAGCAAATTACCCACATTATGCACTGCAACACTGTATGTAGTACATATTACTAATGGTAGGATGTACAAAAAAAAAAACTATTGTTAAGTGCAGTTCGTCACAATTCGAATATGTCACATCAGGGACTACCTGTATAGACATACACACTCCTCTGTATTTTTGGCTTCTTATTTGAAGTTTAGCTTATAAAACAACCTGTGAATTATGAAGCTGTATCATTTTACTGTGAATCGGTCCTATTTCAGAGCTCTAGCACTTTAAAAATAAAATGTTAACTCTGGGCTAAACTCTTTTGGAATTTTTCTTTTCCTGTCAAAAGCTAACCTTGGTGTTGCAAAAAACTGAATAAAATCCATCTACTCAATCCAAAACGGTCATTAAAAGGAAAAAATTCTAGGTAATTCACAAAATGCTTTCTCATGTCTTAATAAATATGAAAAAGAAACAATGCAGAGTGGGTACAAACCAGGGTTTATCACACCAAAGGTATATAACAGTTGTCACCCAGATATGACACGTGCATTATACATTCACACAATGGAGCACAACTACTGATCAGAGGAAATGTAATCTGTCTATAGAAAAGAGCCAGCAGAAGACAGATTTTTCACTTAACATAAAAAATATGATTGAATCCCCCCTCCACTTTGCCTAAATATATTGTTTTGCTTTCAGATAACATTTAAGACAGAGGCATTCTTCAGAAATTCCTATTAATAGACAGGGAATCTACTATGGCTATTGGTAACACTATACCACCATAGTTGATAAGCCCAAACAGTTTTAAAATTCTCACTGAACAGTGGATGAGATCTGTTCCTGTCTTCACTTTCTATGTGTATCTTTTTAACTATACCTGCAATCTTTATGGCTACAGGATCCTCTGAAACTGGAACAAGCCCTTCTTTGACTTCAACCTGCTTTTCAGAGACCAAGGGGGATGTGGCAGGAGGGGAATACTTAGTTTCCACATAAGCCATGGGCGAGGAAGAAGAGGGCTTGGAATCATGGAAAAGATTAGCCCATGACTTAGCAGGCTGACTGGTGGGAGCAGAGCCTGCTGCCGAGGCCACGAGATCAGCAGGGGGTGAAACACTCTGGGGTTGAGCAGGCTCCGAGTCTGTGCTTTCCATGTGCAACTCCACCCCGTTGGCAGCTGGGCCCTCATCTGAGGATTCAAGTATTTGTCCATTAGCAACTCCAAGGTTCTCAGTAGTATCAGTACCAACATACGGTTGAGCCACAGCTGTCCTTAACAGGCCATCCCCGCCAGCGTCTGCAGAGAGGCAGGCCTGTTCAAAATTGGTCAGGTGGCACAACTCAGGCTGCCCTGCAGTCCTGGCATGACTGTCCAGTGCTCTGGGGAAAGGCCTGTCAGGCAGAGAGTCACTGACAAAGTCCAGGGAGTTCTCAGGGCTGTTACAAGTCCTGGGTGCGGCTGATGGGGGCATATCACCCATGAATTCTGCGTCCTCTGTGCTTACATTGTTCGGGACTGCCGGATGGGCATGGCCGTTGACCAGGGTGTCTGTGGAAATGCTACCATCGCTGCCGTCTTTCAAGTAACTGTAATATCCAGGTGGCCGTTTTTTCTTCTTTTTCCGTTCCCTTTGTCCAAGACCACCTGAGACACCATCATTTTCTAAAACTTCTGCCTCCACATTAGAACTAGTATCCAAAGCAAGGGGAGAGCCTGGGTACTGGTATTCAATGGAGCTGTAGTTTGCTTCTTTGTCCAGGTCATCGGGGATCTTTTTGGAAGTTGTACAACCAAGAATAAATTCCGGTGCCTGAGGGTTCAACGTGCTTGAAATACTGTAGCTAGGGGTTCCCGGCAAAGTGTCACTGGGTTCAATCACTTCATTAACTCCAAACTCAATTCTCTGATATTCTTGTCCTGCATAGATAGAAAGCAATCAGTAAATATCTCATTAGTTAAGCCCATAGATATACAAACTATGAAAGTATTAATAATTACTCATTTGTTTTTAAAAACTGAAATCTTCTATTCTTAATTAAAAAAGCTATGGCATATTTTATTTCTGTGCTGAAGAAATAAATAACTTGCTGAAAATAAAAAAAAACTGTAAAATTTTATATCTGGGGTTACAAAAAATAGAATCCTATACTTATCCGGGGAGCTAAGGAAAACTTTCAGAAGGTATAAACTAGAATGAAATTATAATAAAAATAAAATAGCATTTTGCCATTTAAAAATACCCCGCAATGGGACAGCCCCATATAACAAAACGGGACTAATGAGGTACAGCAGTCCAGGGCCAAGGACTAGAAGGCAGAAGGGGACAGGAAAGCTAGTGACAGGGAACCCAAGGTTGAGTAAGGACAGTGTTACATGTAGTGGGGTTCTTAACCATTGTCATAGGGCAACACGTGTACTGTTTAACAGGAAACTATTTTGTTCTGTAAACCTTCATTTAAAGTGAGAATGGAAGTACAACTGGAGGAACGTAATCAATGTCACTGAACTGTGCATGTAGAAATTTTTGAAACGGATGGTGTATCTTTGGCTATGTATATTTTCACCAAAAAAAAAAAGGTCGAGAAGGGAGAGAGTTGACATGTTGTGGGGTTGTCAACCAATGTCATAAAACAATATGTGTACTGACTGTTTAATGAGAAACTATTTTTCTATAAACCTTCACCTGAAGTACAATAAAAAAATAAAAATACCCCATAATGGAATCTGACTTTAATGGTTTACGTGATGCCTGAGACTAGGGAATATGTATTTTGACAACTAAAAAAATAAAATCACAATGACTAACTTAGGGACTTAGAAATCTTTGCTATATTTAATTAAAAACTGGAAGATGTTGCTTTTTAAAAGATCTGTATTAATAAATTTTTTTTTTTGGCATAATCAAGTCCTGTAGTCACTTAAAGCATGTCAGTTTCATCTGGAAAAAAATTCAGAAACATCTGCACTGTGAACTTGCTTTAGTTTTTTAAAATTGCTTTTAAATATCTACTATTTAATGATTAAAATCTGAATTCTACTTAATCTATTTAAGAAAATTTAAATGCTATTTAGTAGATTTAAAGACTAAACAAATCCTTCCCCATATTTCACTTCAAAATATACTAAACAGGAACAATGTTTCATTATAATGCTCATCTGCATGTCTCGAATTTATGACAAGAGTGAAATTAAAGTGAAATTAAAATGTTTTTAAAGAAAGCTACATACTTATTTTTCTGACTAGTGCCAATTAATCTTTACAAAGTTTACAAGATTTAATGTCAAGTCTGCATAATAAGGAAACTTCTCAAGGTGCCAAGTTTTACCTACTTCTGTAAAACACTTTAAGCATGGTCCCACAGACACCAGATAGAAATTATTTCTTTAAAATACATACACATATATCTTATCCCCACAAACTCCTCCAAAGACGGGAAAGAAAGGTAAAGCCATAAGAAATGAATCTTGCAGGTAACTTCTTTTGACTGTGAACGTGAAGCTAAGTGTGGTACTGTTCGTCTACAGAGTTGGAAACCGGCAGGGAGAGGAGGTAAAGTAGTCAAATCTTCGGGAATACCTTCCTTGCAAACTGAGGACTGAGTATGAACTTTTATTCATGGAATTAAACTCTAATCAATAGTTTCAAAGGTCAATGGTTTACTGTAGAATGTTTCACTCAACTTTCCCAGCAAACTTTCAAATGCTACAGGCATTCAACCACTACAACTGGACGGAGAGGAGAGGGGTGCAGACTGACACATTCCTCCGCTTAAGATGGCTGCAGCCCACCTCTCCATGGCAACTAGATGCAGGGTCGAGGATCGTGACCACCTAAGGTGGCTCCTCAATCAGATCTTTACAATTAGGCTTCTTTAGTTTTTAAAAATCCCAAAAAGATGAACTACACAAAGAATGACTCAGAGGCACCCTTCAAATTAGTCACCTGTTGGCTGCCCCACTTATAACCTAATGAAGTCTGTGAGTGGGAAAGGTATGTACATGTCCCCTAAATGAATTCATTGGCAGTGCAAGGTACTTCCACAAAAGAGATAAAGTTAGGACTACGACCTTCTAAATATCTCTTTGAAACCCATCAATACTTCTTCCCAATTGGCACAATCTGCATAAGTCATCCACTCTAAGGTGTATTTTTTACATTTCATACCTCTGAATTACGTGTCTTTCAAAAGACATGGAGCATCAAGGTCATCTTCTATAGTTACGACTTTGAAGTTGATGAAGGAGGACACATGCCTTATCATTCATTTTTTAATGCGTAAGACTGAAGCTCTCCTGCACTATGAACTTGCTTTAAACTTTAGTGTAAGGCTGATTTTTTTCCCAAGGCACACATATAAAGAAAAAAGATCATAATACCAAAATAATTGTGTTCTATTACAATTACTTATATTTGAATATATTTATGGAAGGACCTTTAGAAGTCTTTTTCCAGAAGGAGAAAAAAAGATTCAGAGAGGGGGCAGTCATAAGCACATTAGAGGCAGGACAGGGACAGGGACTAAACATAGATCACCTGATGGTTCATTTGTGCTTGGTATCACACCTCCCTCACTGGGAGACTGGGGGAATACTTCTGCCCAGCAACAAAAGTTCCTGAAAAAAGAACACTGTATACCTAAGTATACCTAACAGCAAGTTTACAAAGAAAACCACTGATACGACATCTTGATTCCTTTGCCCACTGAGCACTGACTGTGTACTTTGTTTCCCTTTTTCTGAAAAGAACTCCCAAAGAAAAAAGAATTTATTATTGTATCTAGAGGCTGACTGTCCATTTTGCTTCCAGGCATCACCTATTATTCCATGTTTCAAGGATGTACTATTACATGGATTGATATGAACATACCTGAAGAAGTGAAGACTACTACACAGGGAAGGCTCCCCTTTGGAGACGATAGCTATGGTGCAGGTTGTGAGATCACATTAAAAATTAGTATGTAGTGTGTCATGCAGGCTGTGCAAGATCTTGGTTATTTCCAATAGACACAGTGCTCTGCACTTCAATTCTTAACCTTAACATGGTATAAAACATTCTAGGATGTGACGTGACATTAACGGAACTATTTCATTATACTAAGGTTATTATTGAAACAGTGCCCAGTACAGTGTTTGACCACATCACTGGAAGCGGTCCTTTCCTATTGTGTCCCAGGCACAATGGACACGTGTGCGCACTGCATGCCAGAGAGGCAGGATCAAGCCCAACTTGTCAGGCTGGAGGAGTGATGGAAGGCCTGCAAAACTCACATTTTAAATAACCCAGTCAACATACTGGGGAAATGTTAACTTAACACTCAGGTCATGCAGGTAATGGGTTTGCTGGGGGATGAAGAACTAGCTTAGACAAAACAAGGATATCTTCACATAGCATTTCTCCAAGTTGGCTCGTTATAGCACATGCAGCACAATGACTGGGGTGCCTGGACAGGGTCCCAAAGTCAGCAATGTCCAGAGGCACCCAGGTGATGCTCATGCCCACTGCTGTTTGAGAATGACTGCTTACATGGCTTCTTCAACTGATTTCTCCAGTTAGGTCTTAGCAAGTCAATTCAGTGATTATGCAGCATTCACCATACATGCAGGGCACTGTTAATGTATTAGTCACAAGAGGGACACAGCAGCTAACGGGGGCAGGTCCCTGTCATCAAGAAGTTTACATCTACTAGAGGGACAAAACCACAGACCCTGAGTGTTATGGATTGAATTGTGCCCCCCAAAAATGTGTGTCAACTTGGCTAGACCATGATTCCCAGTACTGCATGACTATCCACCATTTTGTTATCTGATGTGATTTTCTTATGTGTAAATCCTACCTCTATGATGCTAATGAGGCAGGATTAGAGGCAGTTATGTTAATGAGGCAGGATTCAATCTACAAGACTAGACTGTGTCTTAAGTTAATCTATTTTGAGATATAAAACAGAAGCAAGCAGAGCTGAGAGACAGGAGACCTCATACCATCAAGAACGCAGAACGAGGAGGGGAGTGTGTCCTTTGGACCTGAGGTCCCTGTACTGAGAAGCTCCTTGACCATGGAAGACTGATGACAAGGACTGTGCCCCAGAGTCAACAGAGAGAGAAAGCCTACCTCTGGAGCTGGCACCCTGAATTTGGATTTCTAGCCTCCTAGACTGAGAGGAAATAAATTTCTCTTTGTTAAAGCCATCCACTTGCGGTATTTCTATTACAGCAGCATAAGATGATGAAGACGCTGAAGATGATGATATACAGGGTGGGTGAGAGAGGGCCCTCAACAGCTTCATACAGAAAGTGCTTCAGGACACAGAAGAAAATGACCAATTTCAATCAGGAGCTATAGAGAGATCTGTGGAACTGGAAGAATGGGCAGGGTGGGGGTCGACATTTCAAGCTTTAGGAACTGACCGAAAAAGGCAGTGGTATACAAGTGTGTGCCATACTGAGGAGCCTGCAAGTAGCTTGGTGGAGCTGGCTGTGGTGGGAGGTAGAAGGGTAAATCATTCTAAATCATTCATCCTACAAACACACTGACACTACACTGTGCAGCTGCTAGACACACACAGATGAATAAATGATGGCCCTGACATCAACAGCTGAACCCAGCCTCAGGGTACAGACTCGTTCTGTGTACTGCCATAGACACTAGTAGAGAAATGGAAACATAGGAGAACAGAAAAGGCTCCAGAGAAGAGGGGGCCTTTAAACTGGCCTGTCTGTCACTAACAGTGCAAGCAGGTGGCAAGAGTCTAGTTGTGTTTTCAGCAGAATATAAGATGGACTAGAGGGCAGGCAGCAGAGATGGGGAAAAGAGCCATGAAGCAAGAAGTGAAAAGGGACGGTGGCCTGGAACTAAGTAAGCAGCTGTGCAAAAGGAGAACAGGAAATGGGCTAGAGAGGGAGTGTGGGGTTAGAACACCACGGGGTTGGAGGCTGCAAGGAGGAGTTAGTGGGGCCTCAGATGGCTAACTTAAGCCACTGGGAGGGTGGTGAGGCCATAAAAAGAACTTAAGAAAGAAATGGATTAGAAAGAAAGGAGTAATATGAAAGGAAAAACAGTGACATATTCTAAACATTTGATAGGCATTAGCAGCATGCTTACTATGTGCAGAGTACAGTGCTAGGCAATGCCGAGGCAGAAGGCACTCTTGGTGGTCCAGATTCACGAAGTCCAAGATGGCAGCACGTAAAAAAGCAGTTCAGGAGGCTGCACAGCCTGGCAAGTGCTGCTGGGTCCCCAGAGCTGCGTTGTCTTTATTTTATTACTTGTCCTAAGCTACTATTAGAGCTGCTCTTTTCCTTCTGGTCTCTCATATCATGGTTTCTTATAAAACTTCTAATAATTAAAACATTTTTCATAGGTCTGACCATGCTCACTAAACCGGGCATCCATATCCTTTGCTCGTGAAGAAATGTCGGGCTTTCAGCTTCTCAGAGGCCAGCAAGCATCTTAAAAGTATAGTGATCCAGACCGAAAAGTGGTCTGGGTAGATTCAAGCAGCGTTAACGGCAGCCTGCAGTAATTAAATGACTCTGCTGTTATTTGAACACCTGGTACTTAAAAAATCCAAAATCCAATCTCTATAATCAGCTCAGTGTCTGTAACAGAGACAAAAAAGTAACAAGCCAGGAGGTGAAGAGGTTACCCGAATTCCTAAGAGAATTAGTGACAGATCGGGACATGAATGTAAACTCCAAAAAAAAACTGAGCCAAGTTGCCACTTAGCAGTAAGTACAAAGAAAACATGTTCAGAGACTAGAAAGCTCTGCACCCACTAGATTCAGCAATAAGAGACAAGAAAGCTCACTTCAGAATTTTTACAAAAAAGCATACGGTTATGAAAAATCACATACCCGTGGTATTGAGAACTGTTAAGGGAAAAAAAAAAAAAAGAATTTAGCAACTATTTCCTGAACTAAACCTTAAACATTTGTCACTCTGAAGCACCGAAGAAACTAACTTACTCGCCAAAGTGATTCAGTGATGAAATCTGCTATAGTTGACAGCAAAAACATCCAGCTGTGAGTAAGTAAAAGTTTATTCAAAGGTATGAGCAATGGGAAAACAACGTTTCCAGGGTAGCCTGCCCACCCAGCACATTACAGTAGAACCCACTTTGGAGAAAAAAAGTAGAGAACTAGCTTACCATCGGGTAGTTCATCTGCAGCCTCTGTGCCACACAAAACTGTTCCACTGTATGGAGGAAGCTGCACGTGGAAGTGGAAAACAAATTTTAATTCAACAAAAGGTTAAAGCCCAATAATCTGACTTCATTAATGCAGTATTTCATTAAAATTAGGAATGCAACTTCTTGTGACAATACTTTTTATCAAGGTCAAACACGTGGAATCAGTAAAATATAAATCATTTTCACTTGAAGAAAAAAAATGCTTTCAAATATTTACTGTTATTAAACAGATCCAAAAGGCAAAAAAAAAAAAAAAAATCAAAACGGATTCCAGTCGATACGTAAATCAGCTACAATAAAATGATTATCACTATTCTATTCACATAATGACATTAGTGACTAACCATAAATAACAGACACTTTGTTTCCCACTAATTAAGGCCGACTCTTACTGACCCAGCAGCATTTCTTGTTTCTTATCCCCATAATTGCAGCACAGCTAGCTGTGGTTGGGACCAGGCCTATGGCCAGAGCATAGCAAAGCCCACTGGGAAGAAAAAACCCGGGAACCATCTCCATTTTTAACACGCCTTAAATAACAGAATTAATGATAGAAATCACATTCCTTGCTTGGAAGAGAGAAAGGCAAAATGGCAACTGTCTGACCTCTTTGCAAAAAGCAGGAAGATATTATCAATATCCCAAATTTCTGCCTCTTCCTAGCTGTTCCATAATACTTATTTAAGAGTTAGGACTCTTTCGGATAGATGTATCTGGCTGGGATGAGGAAGTTTAGGATGGGCAGGGGTAATAAGTGGACAGATTACTATTACCTGAAGGCAAAACAAAAGAAGCATTAATAGTTTATTTCTCCAAGTAAACCAGGAGGTTCTCTGCGCAGAGAATTAACAACAAACAGGAAGCTAAGAAAAAGCAAGGGGATTAAAAAGGACTGAAAACTTCAGGACTTGAGAGCTGGCCCTATTTCTACACCTGGGGGCACACCACAGCATTCCTCACGCTGACATGAAAGGAGAGCACCTGTGCAGCAGAGCGCTGCACTTGGATGCGCAGCTGTTGTGCAAAGACCTTCCACTCAGCATACAAAATCCCACACTAGATGCTAACAGAAATTACTGCTGGCACAAAATATGGAGCAGAAAGGGTACGCCTGTGAAGGCAGTAAGCGCAGCAGCTCCAAGTGCCCCAAAATCCTGACTCACGTCTGTGCCCCACTGCAGTCACAAGGGACTGTTTAGCAAGCTCCAATACACAGAGTACATTCTTTTTCTGTCAATATGACCCTTGGGGGCCCCCTGGTGATGGAAATCTATACAACTTTAAGGTGCTAAAAGTATTTAATACTTTTTGACTCATCATATTTACACATAATCACTGTAATCATATCAAGAAACCATCTCTTTTTCTGAGTCAGTTTCATCAGTACAAAGTTTTGCAAAAGATCAACCTCTAATGTCAAAATAATTCTATTTGTTTTAAAGGCATTGTGTTGAAGGAAAAACACACAAAAACCAATCTCTCCATGCTACCTCTCTTCTGCTGCTTGGGGAAGCGAACTTTGAAGAAATTCTTCAGACCTGAGAGAGTGAGGCAGGCTGGGAAGACTCACAAGTTTGAGAAGGGACCTCAGCACTCATCCATTTCAACCCCTAACTCAAAGCAGAGAGCTGTCGAAACACTTCAGTGATGCTCCCTTTGCAACCACTCACCCACAGGAATCATACAACTCACTTAACTCCCTCCCAAACCGCTCACCAAGCAACACGCATAAGGAAAACCCCATCAATTTGAAAGAACTACTGGAAAAGGTCGGAAGTCAAGCATACCAAGATGACTATCAAGAACGTTTAGGATGTGCCAGGCGGGGTGTCTCCTGTCTCTCAACAATCAGGTGGTGGGTGCTGTAATCACAAGCATTTGAGAGATGAAACCGCAAGGCCGACTTGTTCTAGGTCTCATGGTCAGTAAGTGATAGAGGCAAGCTCCCGTCATATAAGACCTTCCAACTCTAGAGTACGTGCTCTTGGCAACGTTGTCATTTTATATTGTGTGTTTAAAACTTATCTTGATTTGCGAATCTTGTGTAAGACAGCTTCACTGCAGGAATTACTAAATGCTGGAATGAGTTCTGGCATAGCAGAAATCATTACACACACAAGCACACGCGCGTGCGCGCGCGCGCGCGCACACACACGGAGCCCTGGTGGCACAGTGGTTAAGAGTTCGGCTGCTAATCAAAAGGTCAGCAGTTCAAATCCACCAGCTGCTCCTTGGAACCCCTATGGAGCAGTTCCACTCTGTCCTATAGGGTCGCTATGAGTCAGAATCAACTAGATGGCAACGGGTTTTTAATATATACATATAAGCTGTACAGGCATATGGCATCTTTTATTCAACAAACTTCCACCATCGTAAGATGCCCCCAGAGTCTGTGGTCATTGGATATAATAAACACACAGCAGAATAAAACTGTAAAAATTGTTAAAAATTCCCTCTGTAACTACATAGCTCATTTTAAGAAAAATGCAAAAATTTTAAAAACAAAAAACTACCCACATAAATGTGAAGTGAGCAATGTAAAACACTAAAATCCAGTTACGTTAGATAGGAAGAAAATAGAATTAACTACTCTGAAAAGAGTACTGCAGTCGTGTGAAGGCCAATACTTGGGCCTTTTGATGAGAAGTTATATGTTTTAAAGTCTCTTTCCGGTGCTGCTGTTTTGTTCTGCTGGCTGTCTAAAATACCCTCATGAACCCTGAGTCCTTCCTGTGAAATCCCATTAAGACACCAGACCTCTGAGAATAACTGTCTAAAATCTGCATCTTCACACACCCACACCCACGCAGTCTGAGTCCCTCATAACAGTGTCTCTCTCACACAGACTCTCGTACAGTCTCTCACACACACAGTCTCTCTCACAAGTCTCTCATACAGTCTCTTACAAGTCTCTCTCGCAGTCTCTGTCACACACCCATCTCTCACACACAGAGCCTCTCTCTGTCTCTTGCACAACTTTCTCAGTCTTTCTCATAGTCTCTCACACACGCAGCATCTCACAGAGCCTCTCTCTCACACACAGCCTCTCTTATACACACAGCCTCTCACACTCTCTTACACACTCTCTTACACTCAGTCTCTTTCAGAGTCTCACACACACACACACAGTCTCTCTCTCACACACGTTCACAGCTTGTACTCTATTATCATTGGCTTATTCAGTAACTGGTTGAGGTGTGTGTGCTGCCGCCAATGTTAAGATTCTGGAAATTTTCAAGAACAATGAGCATTCGTCCTCTATTTTTGAACACCAATAACATGATTACATTTGGGGTTCAAAACATGCCATAGACTATTTTTCCCAGTTGGAGAAATTCATTTATAAATCACCCAGGCTTATAAGCCAGAGGACAGCTTTAGTAAATATATCAGTTACATTTAAAAAATAATAATAATAATAATTAAGATCACATACAAAAATCACCTTGTTTCTTCTGATTCTGTTAAACTACTGGCCATCCTATCTTGCCAGCACAAACTTTCAAACTAACTAAAAGAGAAACAAAATGCTCTTAGCAGAGAGGAGTGACGCCTTTGTAGGAGTAGAATGCTTTTACAGTTCAACACTCTACAATTCTTAAATTTCACTTTTTCAGTTCATGGTCCCAAGTGGAGAAAAAATGCTTTATCAAGTTCCTAATGGCCAAAAAAAGTATGTGAATAGGGCTAGGATTCTAATTTATGCTACAGGCACATGGCAGGAATAGTGCATGTATGAGTTGCAACTTTTTTCCCAGAGAGATAAAAGGACAAATGATTATATAAAGTGCAATAACATCACTCACTCACTCACCCATCAATCCAACCATGTGCCAACCCGTTAAACAACCAGTGCACTATTAACTGTATTATAAGATTATAATTCAGACCACTGAGTTATAATAATTATAACACTGAGAAAAATAACTCAGGCTTATCATGTGAGAGAAGCTATATTTCCCTCTTGCAGGAGCATCACTGGACTCTTGTGTGATTCTGATGGACAACATCGGTCAGACTCTGAACGCCAATGCATACTGAAAAAATAAGAACACAAAACCCGAATAAGCCCTGATACACGGAGATTTCTGAGGCTGGGACTCATTTTGATGTGACAGCCATTATGTCTGCCCATAAAAAGTCTGGTCTCACTTTACCAGTCTACATCCTTCATGTGGTCTAACGTTTAGTACGCATTTAGCTGACTTCCCAACATTTCTGTGTGGTAAATGGGCATTCTCCATCTTTCAAAACAAAACAAAACAAAGGTGCAGTGAGATTAAGGAAACTGCCCAAGACCACTGAGCCTGTTTAAGAGGTAGAGTCAGGAACAAACACAGGTCTTCAGGCCTGAACTGTGGTGTATTTTCTACTTTCGTATCACACAAAAACCCAAGTTTTTATTCTAACACTTACAAACATGTATACACACCCCACATACATGCACAGACTTGAGAAAAACTAAAATACAAAAATTGGGCTTTATCATTCTTTAAATCCTTCATCATTAAGATCACAGGTATATGGTGATGCTTCTGGCAGGTACCACCAAATTTTACTGTGACTCAAAGACAGAAATTAATTAAAACTTGAATCATTAGCAGAGTATACAGCAGACAACCTCAATTAACAGCTATGCTTGAGGAATATAGGATCTGTTTTTGTCCTAATTTTTTTTCTTTTTGAACATTTTATTGTGGGTTAGGTCAAAGTTTACAGAGCAAATTAGTTTCCCACTCAACAACTGATACACATTTTGTTTCATTACATTGGTTGCAATCACCTCAATGTGTCACCACTCTCCCCTCTTCCTCCCCAGGTTCCCTATTTCCATTAGCCCAGCTTTCCTGCCCCTTCCTGCCTTCTGAACTTTGCTTCTGGGCAAATGCTGCCCTTTCGGTCTTGTATGTTTGATTGTTCTGAGGTACATCTTCCTCACAGATGTTACTGTTCCCTTTATAGGCCTGTCTATTGTTTGGCTAAGAGGTGATCTCCAGAAGCGGGTTTGGTTCCAAGTTTACAGGGTGTCTAAGGGCCAGAGCCTCAGGAGTTCCTCCAGTCTCTCTCAGACGAGTAAAGCTGGTCTTTTTTTATGAATTTGAATCCTGTTCTACATTTTTCTTCCACTCTGTCCAAGACCTTCTATTGTGATCCTGGTCAGAGCAGTCCGTACCGGTACCCGGGTACCATCTAATTCTGGTCTCAGGCTAGTGGAGGCTGTGGTTATGTGGTCTGTTAGTCCTTTGGACTAACTGTTTCCTTGTGCCTTTGGTTTTCTTCATTCTTCTTTGGTCTGGATGGGAAGAGACCAATAGTTGTATCTTAGATGGCCACTTGCAATCTTTTAAAACCCCAGTTGTTACTTACCAAGGTATGATGCAGAATATTGTCTTTATGGACTTTGCTATGCCAATTGACCTAGATGTCCCCCAAGACTATGGTCCGAAGCCCTCAAGTTCAGTGCTTCAGTCCCACAAGGTGTTTGGTTATGGCTAAGAAGTTTTCATGACTGTGCTTCATCTGTTCTATTATATACATGGATATATTTGCAGTATATAAAAATATGTATTTAGAAATGTCTACTGCCAAGCCTGTATATGCTTGTGGGTGTACACCCATGCTTACATTTCTGCCTACGTATCTACTCATAAATTATTGTCTGTTATTACTGTTGTTGCAAGATTATACATGTAATAGTGTTTACCATTGTTGCCTATTACTCTTGCATACCTCTCAGTGTCTTCCTTCGCCTTGGTTATGTTGTGCTGACTTCCCTCATAACCTGTACTGTCTTTTCCTTCACCGAAGTTACTATGTGTCTACTATCTAGTTAGTAATTTTCCCTCCTTTCCCCTCCCATCCCTGGTAACCAACAAAGAATGTTTCTTTCTGCATGCAAACCTTTTCTTGACTTTTTATGATAGTGGTCTCATGCCATATTTGCCCTTTTGTGATTGACTTATTTCACTCAGCATAATGTCCTCCAGGTTCATCCATGTTGTGATATGTTTCGTGGGTTCATCATTGTTCTTTAACATTGCGTAGTATTCCATTGTGTGTATGTACCACGGTTTGTTTCTCCATTCATCAACCAATGGGCTCTTAGTTTGTTTCCATCTTTATGCTGTTGTGAATAATGCTGCAATGAACATGGTATGCGTATGTCTACTCAAGTTATGGCTCTTATTTCTCCATGATATATACCAGGGAGTGGGATTACTGGATCATATGGTATTTCTAGCTTTTTAAGGAAGTGCCATACCATTTTCCACAGTGGTTATACCACCTAAATAACTCTTTGATCAGGAAACAATGAACTTCAGCTCTTACTCTACGGAATTCTAAAGTGTACAGACATATTTTATTGCCTTAAGAAATGCAATATATTAATTAGACTTTCAATTTTTCCTGGTTTAGATTCTTAGATCCTTAAAATCATAACTGTTAACATCAATGAGCACAACACAATAGGTGGAGATGAGACGAGTAAAATGAGTTTACTCATTTTCTAAAATGAATTCTGATAAAAGTTTTTTTCTTTGACTTCCTTCTTTTTCCTAAAGTGAAAGAGAAGAATAAATCTTCTTACATCTCTATAACTTAAATGTTTTCAAGATGTTCTCATTTAATTTAATTCTACCTCCAAAACTCTGAAGTTTTAGAACTTAAGAAGCCAAGGTGAAGAGAAGTGAAGGTCACATAAAGTGGCCCAGCCGGACCCAATCTTGGCCTTTTGACGCCTATCCTAAGGGGTTAGCTCTCCCTGTCCCTTTTTTTTTACCAAATAAAAGTAGGCCATACATAAACACTGTTTACACATGCACATGTGTACTTGTGTATATTTATTATTTATCAATTAAGGGACCCACCAGGCTAGTTAGGTTTTATTAAAAGTTAACTAAGATTTTACTTGATATACAATTACTTCTTCCCCTTTTTCCCTTCTCAGTGCAATTTTACAGTTTTCATATGTAAAAAAGCCTGAAAACATTTCCCAGATTAGTTTATTTATTTTTAAACTAAAAAAGAAACAATCACACAAAGCAGACACGAAAGAAGATCTGAATAAATGGAGACATAGACCACAACCATGTCTGGGAAAATTCACTATCATAAAGATGTTAATGTACCTAACAAACTAATCCATAATTTTAATGCTATTCTAATAAAAATTTCAATAGGGTTTTTCATGTAACTTGACATGTTGATCATAAAATCTGTATGAAAGAAAAAAGGATCAAGGACAGCAAAAATAACTGTGAATAATAATAAGAAAAGAGTGTGTATCCTACCAGAAAATTTATTATAAAGCTATAGCAATTAAACTGTGGTACTGGCACAGAGATAAAGCAAGAGGTACACAGAACAGGGGACCAAAACCAGATCCAGGCATACATGGGTATGTGCTACATAAGAAGGGCTGGTAATTCAACCAAGAATTGAGTTCTCAACAAATGAGGCCAGGACAACTTGCTACTGCCATGGGGGGAGGCGGGGAAGAGTCTGAGGGAAGGGTTAGATCCCCACCTTACACACATACAAAAATCAATACCTCAATTTCATTTGCATTACACACTGAAGTGTGAAAACAAAAACTTAAAAACTTTTAGAAGAAAACTGGCAAATGCCTTTATTACTTCAGAACGGGGAAGAATTTCTTCAAAATATTTTTTAAAAGCCAAAAATCAATAAACCATGAAGAAAAAGATTGATACACCTGACATTAAAGTTAAAAATGTACTTCCCCCACCTCAAGACTATGGCCCTGGACACTCTGCTAACGCAGAACTGAAACCACTCCTGAAGCCCACTTTTCTGACAAAGATGAGACAGGCCTATAAAACAAGCAAGACAAGAAGACAGGAACGGACAGGAAGTGGACGAATGGACATAGGGAACCCAGGGTGGGAAGGGGGAGAGTGCTGTCACATTGTGGGGATTGCAACCAATGTCACAAAACAATAGGTGTATACATTTTTTAATGAGAAGCCAACTTGAGCCATAAACTTTCACCTGAACCACAGTGAAATTAAAAATAAATAATTAAATGCTTTAAAAAATGTACTCCCCACACCCAGCAAAAAAAGAAAATTTAAGTGCATCACATATGAAGTTTAAAAGTCCCCAGGCTAGGAAGAGATACCTGTAATATATAAAAGCAAAGATTATTAACCTTATACAGTAAGAGAAAGGTAAGCGACTTGACTACAAACTAGACGTGGAACAAAGCTCAGGTAATTCACAGAAGAGGACTTCTATATTCCCAATAAACATATGAAACTAACAAAATAGTGCTCAGCTGTCAGTAATCTGAGAAATGTAAATTAAGACCATGAGAATCCATTTATTACCCACCAGATTAACAAAAATTTTAAGTATGCTAATACTGAGAATCAGGAAGGATTTTTTAAAAAAAGAAAGTGAGAAAATTCGCATGCACTATTGGTGGAAACAGACTGTTAAAAAACCCCTTTAGAGGGCACACTGGTGTCTCTGACACAACTAAAGATGCTCATTCACTATGGAGCCCAGCAATTCCACTCCTGGGATGTATCCTGGAGAAGTCCCCAGAGGAGCATGAGGAGACAAGACAAAATAGGTTTACTGCAACGTTACTGTGACAGTGAAACTGAAGACCTAGGTGGTCCTCCATAGGAAAACAGGTAAGTATACTCTAGTACATTCAGTCAATGGTATTCAGCAATTAATTCAAAAAACAAGAAAATGTATCATCATAGATAAATCTTAGTCTCTGTACTTTTCTATACACTAGAATTCTTTATTACTAAATTTAAGTTTTAAAAGTCAAAGCTGAAACATAACCATAAATGATATCTACACATACACTCACTAAAACAAACCTTTGTCTTACCTCAACTGAAGAACGAGGCGTCACAAAGAATTGATTGAACTCATCAGGGCTAAAATCTCCAAAAATATACTGTAAAAAATAAGAGTCGCTGATCACAAAAAATACACAAACTATACACCTTCAGGAAAAATGCTATACATCATAACAATCCTATGAAACATTTGTGCCAGAATCCCCAAGACCCCTTCTCAGCTAAACCAATCGAGTGACCATACAGAGATTTCCAGGGGTAGAATTTTCCAATTACATAAGAGAAAGTACTACTTAACCTTCTCCATTAATTGTTAAAAAACACTGAAATTGATAAAGCTTATTCTGAAACATGTTGATTTCTTTTACATCAAGTTCAGAAAGTAGAGTTGTGCTTGGTTCACAAGTCTGCAGTTGCTCCATTTACCTTTCTGCTGACTCATACCACTACCTCCATTTCAGTGTTCTCTGCCACACATACCAAAAGCAGGCAGAAAACACAGTTCAAATGAGAACGCAGGGAAATCCAAAGAAGAAAAAAGGTAATGATCCTGATAATGATCTTAAACATCTATATAAATATATAATTTTTTAATTAAAAAAATGCACTGGAACATAATGCCCAGATACACATATTGTTAAAGAGACGTTAACCTACTTGTGGTCCTCACTTCACAGAATCCTGGATGTGACTTCTTGGAAAAATAACTGGTATAAGTAACAGGGAAATAAGTCTGGCAGGTGATACCAGTTCATAATCACCCTGAAGCTTCAAGAAATAAGTCATTGACAAGAATCAGTATGACTAGATTTCAACAACAGAGAATCACTCACTAATTATTTATCCATTCAATCAATACAATTTACAGCCTAAGGGTGCTGCAAGGAGCCCTGGTGGCACACTGGTTACACACTCTGCTGCTAACTGCAAGGTCAGCGGATCAAACTCACCAGCCGCTGTGCAGGAAAAAGATGTGGCATTCTGCTTCTGTAAAGGCCTTGGAAACCCTATGGAGCGTTACTCTGTCTTATAGGATCACTATGAGTTGGAATCGACTTGACAGCAACAGGTTTTTAAGCGTGATGTACTGTGATTAGTACTGGGGATCAAACTGGTAAGCAGAGTGTGGCTCCTCTGCTCTAAAGGAACTTACAGTCTAGTAACTTACAAGTTCCAAACATGTGATTCAAAAATAACCTGTAACTGAATACTATAATAATGAGCAATATCCATTATTATTGTACACCAAAACCAAACCAGTTGCCATCCAGTCAATTCTGAGTGACCACCCCATGTGTGTCAGAGTAGAGCTGTGCTCCACAGGGTTTTTAATGGATGATTTTTCAGTAGTAGATCACCGGACTTTTCTTCCAAGGCACCGCTGGGTGAACCTGAACCTCCGATCTTTCAGTTAGCAGCCCAGCACTTAATCATTTTCACCACCCAGGGACTCCCCATTATTACTGCAGAGGCAAATAAATGGCAACAAATTCTTACACCCTGTTGGTAAGAATGTACAGGAGAAAGTATTTCTGGAGAGCTCTTAAGCAACATCTACCAAGACTGTAAACACACATTAAAAACAGAAACACCTACATGTAACACTTGCATATACTTGCAAAGTCCACAAAGAAACTGTACATTGATGGTAATAGTGAAAATAAGCAGAGTCCCAAACGGATTTATAAATGATCTTCTGAAATACTTACACTGTGAGCTTACATCTTCTTATATTTACAACACTGGGAAAAGGGTTATATTAATTTCACTCAGGCGCAATATTAAGCAATGGAAAAAAGGGCATCTTTAGATGAAAAGGAAGCAAAAGACATGGCTAGGCAGACTCAACATTGTGAAAATGTCAATTCTACCCAAAGCAATTTACAAATATAATGCAATCCCCATCCAAATACCAACAACATTCTTCAAAGAGATGGAAAAACTAATCATTAACTTTATATGGAAAGGGAAGAAGCCCCGAATAAGTAAA